TATCTATGACATGCTGGTATGTCAAGATCTGGTATGTCAAAATTTAAATTTATTATATTTCAAGTTATTTTGAATTTAAATCTGAACTTAATAAATGTGTTTATTAACATACTTGTTCAAAATAAATTCTTTGCATTGCACTTTTGGTTATAATTTTCTTTTTAAAGATGATCCAAAAGGCTTTGTCACCTTTTTGGTCGAGCATGGTCTTCCTCGAGGACTTATACCACGCTATAGGGAAAATTGATTGCACATACTTTTTCATACATGTGGAACTTTAATACATCACTACCATAAACTACAGAGTTTTCTGTTTTCGGGAGTAGTGTTATGTAGAGGACTGAAAAATTGTCTTTTCCAAGATTTCACATCTGATACGGGTTAGGTGTTATGATGGATTAATAATTAAAATGTTTGGTTCTTATTTTTTTATAATACATTTTATTTAATTTTAGGTATACACGAGGTGTGTGCCCTAGGTTTAATTGGAATGTTAGTTACTAGTCCTTGGATGAAAAAATTCGTTGCGCCAGGACAAGGACTTGACTATTTGTCTGGCATCCAAGTGATCAAAAATGTTTGCAATGCACTTGTTGAAAGCAGCGAAGAAGCTCTTTCCCTTAATCACCGAAAAACAGTATTTTTAGGAGGTGATCTCAATGATCCAGTTTTTCAATCACTTATAAACTTTTGTCCAAGGACTGATGAAATAAGAGATGCGTTAGCCAGCTCTTTAAATGCTGTCATAAGTGTTATTAACCGTCAGTATGAGCGACAGTTTACTATGACTTTAACTGACCAACCCAAGTCCCAGACAAATATTAGATAAAATAATTTTTAACCTAAATAATAATGCACTTTTTTAAAATAAAAACTGTATCGATTTTTCTACCAGCAAAAGACTGTTATATTATTTCTAAAAAATAACAAAAATTATAAACGAATACTGTAATTTAAAAAAGTTTGAAAATACTCTTATATAAAGGAATATATTTTCATTTAATGTAATTAATGTAAAGCTAATGTAATTTGTCAATAATTTAAAACAAGAAAAAGAAAAAATTTACCTGTATGAAAAAAATCTTACAATAAATTTAAAAACTAAATGATTTATATGACTACTATTTTATATATAATACATTATCTGACTATTATAACTAATACAAGTTTATTCAGTTGTTATATTTAGTTGCTGTAATTTACTTAAAGGGAATACCAAGTCCCGAGACATGTTATAATATATAATATAATATAATATAATAGTACTGTACACTTAAAGAGTGATGAGTCCAAACTACGTAGAGTTTGTAACTTTAACAGTTGTAACACACTAACATACAAACATAATAAAAAATAGTATTTAAAATGTTCATCCTATTTTTTTTTGAACTGGTTAATACTGTCTGCGTCTATTGTTTCTTGTTAAAGTTTGTTCCAGTCGTTTACTACTCTATTTGTGAAAAAATTATGTCGAATTATATTTCCTGTATATTGTCTTTTCAGTTTATTATTGTGACCTCTTGTTTTATATCCGTTATCTAGCATTTAGGGTTTTGTGCAAAAATTTATAATATTGTACCCTTTCAAATCTTTGAACATTTGTATCAAATCACCCCTTCTTTTTCTGTTCTCCAACGATAGTAAATCTAACTTCTTTAACCTCTGTTCATAACTGTATCTTTTCAAAATTTTAATTCTAGAAGCTCTTTGTTGGACACACTCTAGTTTATCTTTATCATACTGACGGTAAGGATTCCAGATAGGAGCTGCCTATTCCAAATGTGGACGTACTAAGGCTATAAACAAAAGTTTCATTGTTTTTTCGTCTAAATATTTAAAAGTGTGTTCGATCTGACCTAGCTTTTGATTTGCTTTATTTACTGCTTTATTTACATGGTGTTTCCATTCCAAATCATCTGAAATGTACACTCTTAAATCCTTTTCCATGTTTGTGTAGGCTAAAGCTGTAATATTCAATAAAACTTTGTGTTGGCTATTTCCTATTATCATAACCTTACATTTTTGCAGGTTGAATTTCATTAACCACTCATTTGACCATTCCATTAACAAGTCTGTATCTTGTTGAAGTTCAATAACATCACTATCGTTTTTTATTGCTCTAAGGATTTTCATGTCGTCAGCAAATAGTTTACAGCTTGATTTTATTTTGTTGGAGATATTATTAATATACACTACAAATAATAGTGGTTCTAGCACTTATCCTTGTGGTACTCCACTCACGACCTCTTCCCATTCTGATTTATTATTTCCTATCACCACCCTTTGAAGTCTGTTCTTTAAATATCCCTGGCACCAGTCAAATAGTTTTGATTTAAAACCAAGAGCATTCAATTTTAACAATAATCTTTCGTGATCAACTGAATCAAACGCTTTGGCTAAGTCTAGAAACAAAACTATTACATCCAAACCATTATTAATTGAACTTGTGATAAAATCTAGAGATTCCAATAAGTTGGTCACACAACTTTTATTATTTACAAATCTATGTTGGTTTTTATTGATTAATTTATTTTCTACTAAATGTTTCATCATTTTATCTTTAATTATTTTTTCCATGACTTTACAAACTACAGATGTTAAAGATACAGGTCTATAGTTGCATGGGTTCAACTTGTCACCATTTTTAAACAGTGGGACAACATTTGCACACAACCATAATTTCGGAAGTTTACCCGTTTCAAATGATTTATTAAACAATAACGATATTGGTTTGACTAAAGTAGAGTAGCACTCTTTTAGAACTTTTGGATGAACTCTGTCCATTCCAGTTGCTTTATTAGTGTCTAGCTTGTTTAAGTATTCTTCAACATCAGAGGCATTAAAATCTGGATTTTTACAGATTTTTTGTGTTTCTATATCTATTATTGGAGCAGATAAAGTTTGTGGTTTGTTGAATACTGGTGAAAAATACCCATTCAATGAATTTGCAATTACTTTTAAATCAGTTTCGATGCTACCATTTTTTAGTTGGATTGCTCATATATTGTCTTTGACTTTACTTTTATTGTTAATATATGATTAAACTTTCTTGGGGTTAAACTTTGAATTTAAAGCAAAATCATATTCAAAATCTTTAATTCTTTGATTTACTTTTTTTTAAAAACCTTGTTTAACTCTTAGTATTTTGCAAGTAAACAATTGTCTCTGATGTTGTGTTTATATTAAAGAGATTGTTAAAAAAAAAAGTCTGAGCAAATTGTTTTTTGATTAAAACTAATTAATAAATGTATACCAATAAAAATAAATCTTGTTGTTTTAGTCGAAACTCGTCTTCTCCATCTTCTGTGGTATTTTGAGTATGTAAAATGAACGCGATTTTCCAGGCGCATTATACAGACTTGATAATTTATTCAAGCCCGTTTAATTTATAAGAGTTTTAGTGCATGATGTCATTGGAAACATTCTAGATATTCTTTAAAAAATTTACTATTAAATTTTTCTAAAATAACTAACTATAGTTACTTATTTTATTAATTGTTTATTTTATTAATTGTTCGTTAGTTTTTTATAAATCTAACGAACAATTAATTTAACCAACCACTAAGAAAAGATATGAAAATTAAGAACATATTACTAAAATATATAATTTGTAATTAACTTTGAAAATTTTTACAATTTAAAAAATATATATTATAAAACATTTTATTTTTGCAAACAAACGACAGTTGAAAAGATTTACGGCTTTACAGATGTGGCTCCGAAAATGAGCCATAAAATTAAAGTAATTGTTCATTCGACAATATATTCTTAAAAAAATTTATGCTAGATATCTCAAAACGCAACAAATCATAAATAATGCAATTCCTAAAACATTTCAACAGAACACTCTAGAACTGTATTTCGCTTAGTCAGCGTATTTATTGAACAAATAGAATTAGTTCGCAAACTTCGGAGGGTTTTTAGTGTTCGCAAATATTCTTTTTATTCTTCCGTAAGATGCTTTCAGAACATCCAAATTAATTCTGTTTCCATGTATGTCTGTAAAATAAAAAGTAATATATATTAATTTTTTAATTTTTAAGCCTCCACCATAATGTATATTGGATGTTATAATAATGGAAATATAAATAATGAAATAAGATCACCTCAATACCAAAATATGCATTTTTGAAAATCAGAGAAAAAATGCGTTAATAATTTTTTTTTATATTTACAAAGTAAATTAATAAAAGTGCATTATTATTTAGGTAAAAAATTATTTTAACTATTATTTTGAAAAAAAAACTTATAACAAAAGAGATCAAAACTAGAGGTGTACCGGATATAGCATTTTACGTATCCGGCCGGATACGGATATGCCGGATTTAAAATTTCATATCTGGCCGAATATGCTGGATATACCGGATATATTGAAAATTAGGATAGGATTTAGTTTTAATGTTTGTTTTTAGTCAAATTGGGAAAGTGCAAAATAGTGTGTAAATCCACAAAAAAAATAAAAAAAATTATATTACATTTTGCATGTCCTTCTGCATAATTGGATTATCTGTTTTTTATGTAGTTTGAAAATTTATTAACAATTAATTACGTAGCAATAACTTTAAAATTAGGTTGCTATCTAAATTTCCAAACTATGTATTATTACTTTAATTTTTTTGTTATGTTTTTTTTATTGTTTTCTTTACAATGTAACAATGCATTTGGAATCTAACAATGTTTACATTGAAAGTTAACAATGCAATATTAATTTCAATGTAGTATTTATACACTGTATAGATATCAAAATTACCATCTGTATAATACAGATAAGTATCTTGGTATCAAATGCATGTGTATAATTATTATACACATACATTTGATACCAAGATATTTATTAAATATTTAACTATTATACTAATTTAGTTAAATATTTAATGTCAATTGTGAACACGTTTAGTTTTATATTTCAGACAAACATAATAATGCAGAGCTTTATCTGGTCATTGTATAAAATAAATGATGCAAGTGATGTGTATGCAAACTGTAATATCTGTAAAAAAATGATTAAACGTGGAACTATGGAGGCTGGGCAAAAATGTTTTAGTACAACACCTCTGCATAACCACATCAAAATAAATCATCCAAAAGAATATCATATAGAACGAAATAAAAATGAACAGAAAAAAAAAGCTCATGCTGTCAATAAAATTACACCAGAATTTTTTTCAACTAGTACTACAGTAAAAAAAGAGACTGTTTTGGAAACTTCTATACAAACTTCAATAGATGAATATTTAAAGTCACAAAAGGTATGGAGCATTAATGACTCTAGGTCGCAAACTATTCATCGTAAAATTGGGTTGATGATGGCCTTAGACAACCAGCCATTTACTTTAGTTGAAGATACAGGTTTTAATAACTTAATGAACCATTTAGAACCCAGATATTGCATGCCAAGTAGAAATTTTTTTTCTAAAACAATAATACCTCAACTTTACATGGAGTTAAATAATAAAATTTCTGATAAATTAATAAAAACAGATTACATAAGCTTTTCTTCAGATATATGGACATGCCCAATTTCTCATGAATCATTTATTTCATTGTCTAGCCACTCCATCGATAAAGATTTTAACAGATTTGATGTGGTATTACATGCTTCTCATTTTCCTGAAAGCCATACTGGAATAAACATATCTAAAAAGTTAGAAAGTATGTGGGATAGCTGGAAAATTCAAGCTGAAAGACAACATATTCTTGTAAGAGATAGTGCAAGCAACATGATAAGTGGGAATAATCTAGCTGAAATTCCCGCAATCCATTGTACTATTCATTTACTTCAATTAGTTGTTTCAGATTCAATAAGTGAAAATATTGTAATTGATGTTCTTTCAAAATGTTGTCGACTTGTAACTCATTTTAACCATTCATCTCTAGCATGTAACAACTTTAAACAAATTCAGCTGCAACAAAATCTCGACCCTCTTTGTCTTGTTCAAGATGTCCCAACAAGATGAAACAGCACTTATCTTATGCTTGATAGATTAAACAAGTTAAAAATTCCAGTTCAACTATACTTAGCAGAACGTTCTGATTTAATGCCCTTTTCTACATTAGAATGGACATTAATATTAAACATTATTAAACTGTTAAAGCCTTTTTTCCAATTAACTCAGGAAATGAGTTCAGAAATAACAACTTTGTCTTCTGTAATTCCAAATATGTGCTCATTGAAGAAATTTATGTCAAAATGTCAAGTTGATTTAAGTATTCAAGAAACAAAGAATCGGCTTACAACTTCTTTAAAAATCGATTTTTTTTTGAAATAAATGATGCGAAGTCTTTAAACATTTTGAAAAATAGGTACTATGTCATAGCTACTTCAATTGATCCAAGATATAAGTTTTCTTTCTTTGAGGATGATATCAAAAAACAGGCTATGTACTGGTTAATAAATGAAATTTTATCCTTTGAAAAAACTCTTGTTTGTTCTGAAGAAGTAGATTTTAGTGTAAATGAAGAACCATCACAATTAAATTTTTCAATTAATACTGAAAAAGAAGACACTCTTGAAGCATGTTTCAAAGAAATTATAAATGCAACATCTGAAAAACCATTACCTTTTAAAAAATTAAAGTTAGAGAAAAAATCAAATGAGATTTTGATTAGAAAAGAAATAAAAAAGTTTTATTCTGAACCACTTGTAGAGAGAAAACTTTGTCCAATAAAGACCTGGATGCAAGAAGAACGATTCCCTCTTTTAAAAACAATTGCTTCAAAACATCTATGCACTCCTGCATCATCCATATTTTCTGAAAGATTGTTCTCAGAATATGGTAATATCTATAAGAAAAAGAGATCTAGGTTATTGCCTAAAATAGGAGAAATGCTTTTGTTTATTCACCATAATGGGAGGAAAATAGAATGACTCTTTGCATTTACTCATTTGTTGAAATTTTATTTGTTATGTTCTTTGATAGTATTATTAACTTTCTAAAACATTTTGTTTCATTGTTTCATATTTAATAATTTGATTTAAGAGGCATTCATAAAGTATGTATGCAGGTATGGGAGGCGACATTATCTAAAAATGTTTAAATATTATCTAAAAGTTTACAAGTGTGTATAAGGGGTAGGGACAAGAGGGCAAATATGCAAAGTAAGGGCAAGGTCCAGGCAGCAAATATGTACATGGTTGGGCCATCTTTTTCATGAATTTTACTCCAAAAATTTTTTCAAAATTTTTATTTTAAACAAAGACAATTTATTGAGTGAAAAAATCTATAACAAAATATCAAAAAAGAAAAAAAAAAAAGTTTATGATGAAATTTTAAAAAAATATAATAAAATCAAAAAAAAAATTTAAACATTAAGAAAAAAAAATTTTTTTGATTATTTTGATAGAAAATTTTTTTGCAAAACAAATTCTTTAAATTCTCAATTTCGATCATTTTAAATCTTAAAAAAATTGTTGGAAAGTTATGACTGTGTTTTTACCCCTCTCCAAATTGAAGGGGTAATAAATTAAACATGGTCATAACTTTGGAACATAAATTAATTGATGAAATTTAAAACCTATTGATGAATTTAGCTAGAGTATTAGATAGTATAATGAAATAACTAAATGATTTCCCTTGCATTTGGGATAGGTGGTTGAGAAAATAACCTCTAAAGTTATTTTTGTTCCCAAGCTCTAATTACCACGATGATGCAAAACACTTTCATTCTATGGAAGCATAAAAAACTTAAGTTTAGAGTTTGCACAAAGCTTGATAATGTCATATCTGAGACTTTTAAAAACATCATGTTAGAGCCCATTTAGCAGCGTGTCGGTAAACCATTTTGATTTAGAGTTCTCAAAATTAAATTTCTACTTAAAAGATAAATTACCCTCCCCTAAAAAAATGTACTTATTAAATAATTCTTAATGGTTTTTCAAACCTCTTTGTGCTCTGGGAAGTTTAAATTGAAGATAGGCTTGTGACCATTAATTGATCATAAGTGATCGTAAGATTGTGATCATTAAGTGATACGTAATTACAATAGCGATCATTAAAACATTTAACGTTCGCTGTTCAGAATCAAATTTTTAGTTGAAGACTTGTTCAAACGCCCTTCATAATAACACCAGAACTTAACAGCATAAAGTATTATCCGGTATATCCGGCCGGATATAGTATATATCTAGCCGGATACCGGATAGTAAATTATCCTGTATTTTTAACCGGATATCCGGCCGGATATCGTATCCGGTACACCTCTAATCAAAACACACGTAGTCTAGACGATTAATTAAAAAAAGTTGCGCAAATAAAAAACTATTTTGTTTTTACTTTTTTTACAAACACATTTTAGAACTTTAAAATATAATAAAAATGAATATGATTTGGCAATTGTAAGTAAAAAGTAACAATCGGTGTTTTAAACAAACAAACAAAAAAAATCTAGGACGTCATGCACTAAAACTCCTACGAATTAAACGCGCTTGAATAAATTATTAAGTCTGTATAATGCGCCTGGCAAATCGCGTTTATTTTACATACTCAAAATACCACAGAAAATGGAGAAGACGAGCTTCGACTAAAACAACAAGATTTGTTGTTTTTGGTATACATTTATTAATTGGTTTTCATCAAAAAAAATTTGCTCAGACGTTTTTTTTTTAACATTCTCTTTAATATGAACACAAAATGTCTCGGGACTTGGTAGTCCCTTAATTGTTGAGGTCTAGTAGCTGTTGCTTTACAACGCATTTAAAATGTTGGATTGAGTTTATCGTTTTTATTTTGTTTTTTACAAATGAATTCCACAATTGGGGTCCTTTGCTGGATATTGAGATTTTAGATTGTCTTAAAGAGGTTTTCAGAATATAGTAGTTCTTGATAGAGTATTTTGTTTAATATTTTTGATTAATAAGGTGAAAATAGTTATGAAAGACTTCAGGGACCAGATCATTTTTGAGTTTAAACATGAACTGAAGTATGGAATATATCCTTCATTAAATGTTCAGAATTGGCATTTTAATTTGCGTTTGTTAATATACGGCACGCTTCTTTTTGTTTTTTGTATATTAAATCTAGTTTTGATTGGTAGGTACTAGCCCAGGCAATATTGCATAGGTAATATAACTATGTATAAATGCAAAAATAAAAACTTTTAAGACATGCATTATTTAAAATATATCTGGTTTTATGCATAATTCCAATGTTTTTAGATATTTTGTTTTTTTATATATTAATGTTGTCTTTCCAGCTAATATGTTTTTTATTTATTTATTTATTTGAGTTTTCATGCTATATTTTTCTATACAATGTTTTTATATATTTTATATATGTTCATCTAATAATAACCTGAGAAATTTAACTGAGAACGCTCGACTTAGTCTAACCTTATCTAATAGAATATGTAGAAGTTTTGATGGTAGTTTGTCTGAAATGTAAAGTTTTGTGAAAAAGATATAATTGCTTTTTTCAATGTTGACAGAAAGTTAGTTTGCTTTAAACCAATCGCTCAAAATTTCAAGTTATGACCTACTGTATTAAAAAGTGTAGCGATGTTAGAGTGGGTATAGAAAGCACGAGTTTCATCTGCAAACAGAATGAAGTTCAATATATTGAAAGATAAAAATATGTCATTTATATAGATTAAGAAAAGTAGAGGTCCTAGAATAGACCCCTGGGGAACGCCACTTGATGATTATAAAGGGGAGTATATGTTTATTGAAAAATAAGGCTTGTTTACGGTTTTTTAGATAGCAACTGAACCATTTTAAATTTTTATTTTGTATACCATAATTATGAAGTTTGTATAAAAGGATTTCGTGATCCACTGTTTCGAAAGTCTTTGAAAGGTCAATAAATACTCCAAGGGTGTGTTTTTGTCAAAGCCACTTAAAATTTCGTTAACTAATTTAATTACAGCACGTTCAGTGGAGTGGCCTTTTTTATATCCGTATTGGTCATTGTAGAGGATGTAAGGATTTTGAAGGTATGTAAAGAGTCTATTATACATTATGCGCTCCAAATAAATAATTAATCTTAAAAGCTTATTCTGTAAGTTTTTAAGTTTAATTCTTTTTTCTTGCTGAGGAAACGCTTTTTCATACGCATCACTGAACTCTAAGTTAAAATATTCATAAGCGTTATTTGCGTCTTTGTAGTTGATTAGTTGATCCCAATCTATATACATATATACAATATATACATATACACAATATATATATATATATATATATATATATATATATATATATATATATATATATATATATATATATATATATATATATATATATATATATATATATATATATATATATATATATATATATATATGTATATATATATATATATATATATATATATATATATATATATATATATATATACATATATATATATATATATATATATATATATATATATATATATATATATATATATATATATATATATATATATATATATATATGTATATATATATATATATATGTATATACACTGTTAAAAATTTCCGTTAAAAA